TTGATTAACATGTCACCTGCTGGCAGGTTACACCAAGGGCGTTAGATTAATGGGGTATTTTTCTGCACTTCTGCTTACAGAGGAGACTAGGGAGGCTTGATGCTTTCCAGGAGGCTCTGTGTCTATGAGTAAATGAGCAGTTCATTGCCTTCATTTCAGCCTAGTAATAAAAGTTTGAATGGAGTCTACTTTTTACAATTGCACTGCCATAAACCTGATGGCAGAGCAGCTCGCCAACCACTTAGAAGCATTTTCTGATATTAGTGTAAAAAAAAAAAAAAAAAACCTCTTAAAATCTGGTGTTACAAAGTAATAATTTTAAAAAATAGGTAAATATCTATTTATTGGTGTTCAAAGTAACAGTAAAAGTAACATGAACAAGGTGTTGTGTTTTGTTTTCTGGGGGGGTATCCCAAATGCAGATAACAATTCAAATTGTCTTTGTACTTGAATGCTTTTTAAGACAGGTGTTAGACTGTAGTGAGAGCAAGTTTAAAAAAGAGGAATTTTAAGGAATTGTTGTGAAACAGATGTTTGTGCTATATTCCAAAGCATGTTTATGTTTTAAAAAAAGAATTTTAATAGTTTTTAGTGGTTGACTGGCTGTTGTAACACAGTTCAGCATCCACACTAATCTCTGCTCAGTCAGTGTGGCAGTCATGGAGCCTCAGTTTTGTCTATCTTCCTCTTTGGTAAGAAGAAAGGAATGCCTGAGTCCTGGTATCTGACTGAAGGGCGCCTGTTGACCTATTTCATGTCCTGTCAGTGGGACAACAGGAAGTCCAAACACACAGACTGTGTTTCCGTCTCTCCTTTCTTCTTCCACCTGACTGGAAAACTGCACATCACATTTCCTCAAAGCCAGAGGAGAAGACTGCTGGGTGGCAGTAAGAGATTCTCTTCCAAAGCTTGTTTATTATGGTGACGGTGCCAATGCGTCATTTCAGGTGCCAACTGTCTGACACTTGACCACCTGCAGTCATTATTTCACCATGACTCTTCACCCATGATCCTGCTGCTCTGTAAATTGAAGGCTTTGTGCATTCTGCTCACTGTGCACTCTGTCACCTCTTAGCTGGCTGGCTGTCAGGCGAGCTGCAGTTGACTGGTCAGTGCTGGACTGTGTCCATCCACACGGCTCCTACTGTGATTTGAAAGCTTATATCTTCATTAGCAAAAAAAAAAGCCTGCACTCTGCATTAATGTGATGACTTTTTTTTAAAGTTTGCGCTACTGGAAGTCATTCTGTTTGAGTCAGTTAGATAATTAGTTAATGTAAACAACACATTTATTTCATGTGGGCAGTCTCCACAATAACATGCATGCTGTTTTTGTAGTTGCTGTATAAACAGTGGTGGTATAGCTTGTATATGAAAATTCCAGGGCAGCTATAATCAACACGTTAATATTTGTGACAAGAGGGCTAAAACGGTTCCCGATACACTGAATATAACAGTGAAAGTGCTCTGGGAAAGATTCCCTCCTTTTTGTTCAAAGCTGGCTTTTCCCAGTAGTTTTATCTCCCTATTAATAAGAGTTGGTCTCATTGGCTGCATGCAGATTTATTCCTTTCTAGAAGAGGTACAGTCAGTATGTCATTTACCTGCCCATTCCACTCCTTTTCATCAATTTAGTAGTTCTTCTTAGATGTAGCTATAAAAGATTCTGGATCTGAGCCAACCTACATCAAAGACTGTAATAAATTAAGGGGAAGATAACCGCTAACTATCTCTGCTTTAACTTTGATTTGTGAAAGGTTTGCACTTGCACACCCACAGTGGAAATGTTATTCTTTGAAGACCCTAAAGTAAATGTAGTTCTTGCACATTAATAGAGTAATTAGAAGTACAAGTTTTTAATGTGCCCTGAAAACTATAAAGTCTGTGCTGTGCTTTCTCTGCAGTTCATGCCCTCAGTTAATATTACCGCTTTGACTGAACAGTCAAATTGCTGTAATGTGGTGTGTGAATTTAGTGATGGGAGGGAGACCTAATTAGTGATGTTAACACACCTACTTTCTTTCTTTCATTAGTCTGTAAACTAAGTGGTATGTTTTACTCTCAGAAAACGTGATGGTTAATTTTTTTTAATAGTTCTTTTGTTTACTTTCTTGGTTCTTCAACATTTGTGAAACCCCTGTTATTTATAAGGAAATAATATTATAAGTGCCTTTTCATGTCCATGTCAACTATATTGTCTCAGTAAAAACTCTTCAGCTATCATATTTTATATCATTGACCACATTCTAATTTACTCTTTCTTCTCAGGGAGTCCTTCCACATTTAGCCAATTAGGATGGTAGTTTGAGTATAAAATAATAAATCTTCTCCAGCTAGTGTCATGGAAACAAACTAACTGTAGTAGTAGTAAATGTTTTAAAAAAAAATACTGTCACCTGTCAGCAGTAATACCAAATGCTCAGTAACCTTAAGGAAGTTCAACCTGTTCTGTACCTGCCATAAATCCCAGACAATAAGCTGATCTCAATGCCAATCAGTAGTCTGCTACTCATCCAATTACCCAATTTCATATAGAGCATGCTATTAAAACTCTATCAGCATGTATTTCCAAGCCACTTTGTAACCACTGCCACCCCAGCTCTTACTTTCCTGAGGTCCTGGATCCTGGGGAGGTCCTGCTTCTGCTCTCCCTGCCTCTGAATTTCCATTTATCCACATAGCAGAATAGATAGCTTGTGGAACAAAACCATCACCACATATAAATTATTGCAGATGTAAATATCAGTCTTTTGTTGACTGTAATGTTTCTAACTGAAACATACTATAAGTGGTTTTAATTAATGGTAATTGGTAGAATTTGGATACATTGGAGTGCAAAGCACCTCTGATATGGAGCCTTGCATCGAAGGCTTGGTTCTGTAACTACCGGACTCTGTATACTAGTGGCTATTTAGTGTCTCTTTTTGCATGTGCTAACTGCTGGTATTGAGACTGGTGTCATTTCTCTGTGCACATGAAGCAGCTGTGGTGATGTCATGGTTAAAGAGGTGGGTGATCTAAAGATGAGTGAGTTCATGTGCTCCATCTGGGTTTTATTCACTAAGAGCAAGAAGAAAACGGAAGATGAAGGGACAGCAAATGGAAGGCTGGCCCACAGTCCCATTCTTGGCATCAGTCATTCTCAAGGAAATAGCCTGATCTTAATCACTCCAGACTCTCTCTCACATAGACTTATTTAGCCTCTTTATTAGCACCCATCATTAGAATATGAGTTGGTAGGTGTTTCTTTGCCTCCCACGTGTGGATGGTGCTTCGAGAAGTGCATAGTAAAATGTAGTAAACATTTTATGTTAACATATTTCATGGGACTTTAGGAGTGCTTTCTGTCCTCATTCTGTCAGTCATGGGTTCATCATCTGTGAAATGCAGACATGTAACTGTGAATGTTGATGCAGTTCTTTGGCTCTTTGTGAAGATCTGGGTCTCAGTTCACCTGACAGGATAAGAAGTTCTGCATTTATAAACTGTAGCATCTAAGGGGCTTGGAAAGAAAGCCGTAGCATCCCTTCATTTGAGGCACGTGGCAGATCTTTTAAGGAGTGACAACACACAGTGTCCAGAGCCCATGCTACTATTCTTCATTTGCATAGTCTACAATTGTCTTTCAAATCTGATTGTTTAAGGATTTTCACTGAAAACTTTGACACAGTTGATATGATTTTACCACTCTGCTTTCGAAGCAAAGCTTCTCACTGCAGGAATCTTAAACAGCTTTGTACCCCAGAAATTGTGCCAGTGTTGGCAGCTTCTGCCTACCTACCTAATTGAATGAGGTGGTAGTCTGTGTACAGAGCCTATCAATGGCACAGTATTAAAAAAAACCCACGGAGGTATAGGATTTCCATTCAAAACGAGTCCATTTGTTTTTTCCGTTTTGTATGCGTCTTTGCTTGAAGTGTGTGCGCATGTTGCTCTGGGTGATGATCCGTCTCCTCTCACAGGATGCCTGTCTAGCCTTTGCTTTGGGGGCTTGATGATGAAGCTGCATGTATGAGAGAGAGAGAGAGACAGTGCTGTCTCTGTCTGTGCTCTGCTTAAACTGTTCTGTGCCTGATTGCTCCACGTGCACGGGGACCTTTGTCATCCTTTGAAACAAGCAGGCCCCTTGTGTCCGTTTTGCTGTTTGCTGATGATCTGAAAACAAACAATACAGCGTTTTCAGGCGGCACACAACTCATGCGAGGCATCAGTAAATACTCTTCATATTTGAGAGGGGTCTGGAAAGGCCTCGCGGCTGCGACCCACATTGATGCAGTTAAGCTCTGCTGCAGTCATGAATGGTTACAGCGAGCAACAGACAGTGTCAGGCAAATGTACTGTTGTCCAAACAGAGAACAATATGTGAATAGGGTATAGTGACCATGTGCTGAATAATACAAGTATGAATGCGATGCACTGTCTGTTCAGTTAGTGTCATCACATGATGTTAACAAATTCCTGGTTCTAGCATGGGGGTATGTTGATTCTGTTAACCTCCACTTGTCAGTGTGAAGCCTGCTACATGATAATACTACAAAGAACAAGTTTATTGATGCATGAATCACAAATTATGAATCTGGACTCTGTATCATCACAGGATTTACATTTGTAGTCCAAGTGGACTCTTTTGTTTCTTTGTATTTTTCAGTTTCAAATTAAATGAGTATTTGATCCACTTTAGCTATTAAACACAATTAACAAGTTTGATCCTTGTAAATAATATTGTTTGTATTGGTTTTATGAAATTTTCAGTGGTTCTACTTATGTAGCCACTCAGTTTTGTTTGAAGGTTATAGTTATGATTTTAGCAGCTATCAGATGTAGAGGCTTAGATTTGTTTTGGCATTTAAGTCTTTATAACAATTGGTCCCCAACACAGTCTGTTAAAGTGGCCTTTTAGCTGACAAAGCGAAGGGAAAAAATTGTTTACACTTATAAATCAGTTTTGCCACTGGATAATTAAACACCGTTTCATTATATACTTCTTTGTGTGTTTTTCAGGTGCACAAACTGTCAAGAAGTCTGGAATCCCTGCTCCTAGAGAAATGCCCTCTGCCATAACAAGAGACCGCAGCTCTCTAAGGGACCAGCTGAAGAGCAATTCCACAAAGAGACTGGTTTCCAGTGCCAGCACTTCCAGCCTCTCGACCATGACAAGACAGACCCGTAATTCAGCCAAATCTCGTGCAGATGCAGAGGGCCAAGAAAAGAGTCTTCTGGAAAGCCAGGTGAAGGAGCTTCTTGCTGAGGCAAAGGCTAAAGACCTAGAGATCAGCAATCTCAGGATGGAGTTGCAACGCTGTAAGGGTAAAGCCTCTTCTGCTTCCTCCTCACCCAATTCTGTTTCACCTCAAGAACCTTCAGCCGATCGCGAGCAAGGACAGGTGGGGGAGGCCCTTGTGCTGGTTGGAGAGCTGAGGGAGAAGAATGGGAAGTTTCAGAGGGAGCTGGCAGCCCTCAGAGAGGAGAATCAGGCACTGAAGGAGAAGCTGCTTAGCTTGGAGGCATCTTCTATCTGTAGTACAAACACAAGCACCTCCTCCAAGCCTCTGGTGAATGGCCTGTCCTCAGACTCTTCAGCTCCGCAACAGCATAGTCTCCCCTCTACTGCCAGCCCACTCAAAACCTCTGGATCTTCCAGTTCTGACATCACCAAGGGGTCACCGTCACCTGACTCCTCAGAGTTTGAGAAGATCCCATCACGCTCAGAATCAGCAAGCAGTGGTGTCAGTGGGAGCACTGATCAAGCAGGCGCAGTTAACAGTGCCAGAGGTCAGGACATCTCCTTGCAGAGCCTAACCGAACAGATTCACAAGATGGAGGAGAGCCACCACAGCACATCGGAGGAACTGCAGGCAACAATACAGGAGCTGGCTGACCAGCAGCAAGTGGTGCAGGAGCTGACAGCTGAGAACGAGCGTCTGGTTGAGGAGAAACGACTCCTGCAGACCTCACTTCAACAGCAGAGAGAGCGTCTGGAGGTATTGGCCCAAAAGAATGAAACGCTCTCTGTCCGGCTTCAGGAGCAGGCTCAGGCTCAGGCCCAGAGGGAGGAGGAGCTGGGTAGCCAGAGGCCTAGACTGGTCGAACTGGAGCAGAGGTATGCTGAGCTGGTAGAGAGTTCACGCTTTGAACGGGAGAAGCTAGTAGACATCCAGCAGCAACTAACGGGCAGCTTGCGGGCCCTGGAGGAGGAGCACCAGGAGGCCCAGAGCCAGGTGCGCTGCCTCAGAGAGGAGTTAGACAGGTTGCAAGCCCAGTTGGACAGAGAGCTGGAAGCCGGAGGTCAGGCAGCTCAAGCTGCAGAAGACCAGAGGGCAACAGCTGAGGGTCTGAGACTGGAAAACAACAGGTTGAAGGCACAGGTGGACATTGAGAGGCAAAAAGTGACTGAGTTGAAGGCTATGCAAAGTGCCAGTGACAACACTGAGCTGCAGACTCTGCTGAAGACAGCCCACACTGAGAGAGACAAGCTGGGAGTGGAGCTGACAGAACTAAGACAGGAGCTGCTTCAGGCGCAGGCTGAGACTGAGCATGTGCAAGCCTCCGTGTCTAAGGTAAGAGACGGGCAAAATTGATAACATATTTTCCGTCTTGGCAATCATAATATATTTATTGCACCTTCACCAGGTCAGTTGATTAAACACATAAATGCACTATAAAGAAAATATGCTTGACATTTTGGAAACTATTCATATTCATATCTTGGCTCTCTGTAGTTAGTACACTCAGTGGAAGCAACCGAGTGGCATGTGAGCAGTAAGAACTTCATTTATGATGTTTCCTTATGAACAAATTTGACTGAGAAATAGGTGTATGCTAATTCCTAAACAAAAATAATAGTGTATAAAAACAAATTGTGTGTGTGTGTGTGTGTGTGTGTGTGTGTGTGTGTGTGTGTATGAATACTCTGATCTGATGCATACATACATGTTTGTAGACTGAGGAAACTGCTTACATAGATGTAATAATGTAAATAAAATATGACAAACCACGTATACTGTCGAACATGCCATCCACCACAGGTGTAGCTGCTTATGTCGTGGTTGCTAGGTAACAGAAACCACACGTCGTAGGCTAGACCGTCCAATTTAACAGCCTTGCCCTTCCAACCTACGCAGCCTACATAAACCGGGAAGGCCAGGTCCTTCGAAGGATGTAGCCCCTGAATTTGGGCACAGTCTATGATCCAGTTCACAAATTTAATTTCACTTTATATAACATGTTACAGATGTTTTAAAAAAATACAAGTAATCAACCAAGTGCTTTTAATTATCTTTGATTTATTAAGCCGAAGAATTGCAGTTGTATAACAAGTTCTCCTTAATAAACGTTTTAAAATTCAACGCTGATCATTTCAACCACCGTACAGTTTTAGTATGGATCCTGTGGACTGTTTTTAAAGTGGTCCTGTGATGTAAATTATATGACTTGCTGTGACCAAAACAGCAATTTGTTCATCCGCTCTTACTGTAAGTTGTGTATAGAATTGCAAAACACAGCAGCCAATATCTTATAATCTTGTGCATATATTGTACTTGAGAAGTACAGAACTTCTTATTGCTATAAATTTGTTTTGCTTTCATAATTAAGAGTCTTGAATCATAATGATTAAAAATTGGACTGAAAGGAAAAGCCATGTGATTTTTCTCTTGAGTGTGACTGAGGACAAACTTCTCTCACACTGGTGTGAACATGACCGTTAAATTGGTACTGAGTACCTAACCACTGCAATGCATGAACTCAATGCCACTTAAATGATTTTCATATGTTTCCTCAGTATTCATTTTGGTTTTCCCCTACAACACCACACATCCGAGAACCGCTGAGGCAGTATGAGTTAGGGGTCATGTAGGCGGTTGTTGTTCCAAAGCGAAATGTGTCACCATCAGCTTAGTGATGTCGTCATTACTGGGCTGTGACTGTGGTGCCAACAGTAGGGTGGACCCTCAGAGTCACATAACTCTCCTCAGGCACGTGGGTGTCAGGGTGTGACCACTCCATAAGTTCACTTACAAACATCTTGATCTATTAGAGCCACGTGGTGTCAGTTGGAGGGTGTCCTGCGTGACTACATCACTGTCTCGTTTTAGTATCTTGTTCTGTCAAAGACTGACTTTACAAAGTCATTTCTCAAAGAAGCAATCATAGTAGAACTTTGACTAAAGCTTTCAGTGGAGCAAAAAACACCATGATGTAGTCAGAACTAGTCAGAGTTGGTGCCATCTTTCATGTCACTCATTTCGCTGAATGCCAAATTATTGATGTCAGACACAACTTTGTTGTTTGTTTTATTAATCACAACGATTGAGGAGTTGTGGTAAAAAAAAAATGAAGCAAGTACCTTTTATTTAATATCCTGAGATGTATACAGTGAAATCCATTATTATTCTTTCTTTAACCAAAGGCAACTTAACCACATGTCTGTTTTGCACAATGATGTCTTAAAGTCACTGTAAGCTCTTGTATGTTTACATGTACACAGGTGGAGGCAAAATGTCAGCAGCTTCAGGAGCGGGCTGAAAAGAGAGAACTGGAGCTATGTAACCAAGTGGCTTCCCTGGAGGAAGCGGGAATCCAGGGTGAGAACCAGGTGAAGGAGATGAAGGAGACCATATTTGAGCTGGAGGACCAGGTGGAGCAGCAGAGGGCTGTTAACTGTCACACCAACCAGGCTGTCCTGGACATGGAAAGTAAGTTAATATAAATAGGGGTTCAGGTCCCTGCTATTCTCTAATGTTTTGTGGAGTCATAACTTGAAGTCCTCATAAATGCTCATAAAATATTAGAAACGTGTCCACAGTGGTGAAACATCACATCTTTAAACAGTTTTAACAAACACTGAGCTTTAGATTCATAAAGGTAAGATTTATTGAATGAGCGCTGGAATAGACTGCATTAATGAAAGCTCATAAACTAGCAACTGAGAGTGTATAAAAGTGCCATGCAATGTGAGTTCATGCTGTAACTCATCTGTCATTGACTTTGCATTACTGCAGCTGGCTGATTCCATATAGCTGGACACACTGTGTTTTGACAGACTTCTACAAATTCTGGATTTAGTCTGATATTGCTATTGCTAGACACTACTACTTATATAATAGATGTTAAGCTGTAAGTTGGTTGCGCTCCACAATACTGAAAACTGTCCTGCTCATAGTGAACGCTTATTTATTAAACCTACGGTAAGCTAGACCTCAGCGATGGTAGTGTTTAGGCAGAAGTTCTCAAAGACCTTGAATTTACCATTGCAGATCTGGTCAAAAAGCTGGAGGAGCAGAAGGCTGAAGCAGAGCGGCAACTGAAAGTTATGAGTAGACAAATGAAGGTAAGAAGTGTGCAGACCTGATGTACTGAGTTTTAAAAGTTCACATCTTGGTAGCTCTCTAATTATGTGGCATGTAATGTGACACGCTCAGAGGACAGCCCTTTTGTTTAGTGTATACCATCTATAACATCTTTCGTTTACAGTATGTTGTTTCTCTTTCATTTGTAAGCCATGCAAGCATCCATATTATTGTGATAATTGTCACAGAGTTATGCACTTACAGCTTAGTTCACATAACCGTAGCCATTCTTTTACAGTTGTCCTTGAATTCCTACAAGGACGAAATTTTTGGTGGAGTGACACATTAAGTTCATGGTGATGTTTTCAGTTTTTTCTTGTGGTTTTTTTGTTTTTGTTTTTGTTTTTTTGCCAAAGAGACCAATAAGTCTTCTTTCCACTAAACATTCTTCCAGTAGCATTTTAGAATATGCAGATGGGGTCCTGACACAGGCAGCTTCTTCCATCAGTTTAGTTTTAATGAACTGGTTCTTGTATAGTACAGCATTTCTACTGTAGTTGAGCACTCAGTGCACTTTCTACAACATGTCTTATTCACATGCTTTCACACAAATTCATGAAAACTTCCAATTAGCAGACCTGTACTGTCTCCTGAGCTACAGCCAGCAACGCTTTAAAATGGACATTTATAGATTTAAAAGAGACATCAAGTATGGCAGTTTAAGACTTGGTGGATCTAGTGGTGATAATCATTATCGTAATCTTCAGCTTGTGCTGTGTGGCTGCTGATTGTTGGTGGTCTTACAAAATACTAAAACTGTTGAAATTTTTATCAAATCCTGAGGAAAGTCGGTGTTCTAGTAGAAAACAAAATTTGGTGTAATGCAGAGACTACATAAACAAAAAAACCCAAAATCTATAAAGTACACATTTGATTGATATTGATGATGATAATGATAATAATAATAATAATAACAATGATAATAATGGTGATGATAATAATGATAACGATGATAATGATAAGAAATAATAACAATAACAATACATTTTTCTATAAAAGCGCCTTTCAAGACACCCATGGACACTTAACAATAGAATAAAACGTATAGTAGAACAATGACAAAACGAAGAACAATTTAAAAAATTTTTTTTAAAAAAACACATGATAAAATAAACAGTAAGTTCACAGTGAATATGCAGATTTGAAAAGACAGGTTTTGAGTTGGGATTTAAACTGGGGGAGAGAACCAGTGTTTCTTATATTTGAGGGTAGAGAGTTCCACAGCCTGGGAGCAGAGCAACTGAAAGCTCTGCTTCCCATGGTGCAGAGGCAGAAAGAAGGCACAGCAAGCTGGATAGAAGAAGATCGAAGTGAGCAGGCAGAAGAGGTAGTGCTTAACAGGTCAGAAAGGTTGGGAGGATCAAGGTTATGAAGGGCCTTGAAGGTAAGCAGAAGAAGATTGTATACTATTCGGAATTTCATAGGGAGCCAGTGAAGTTCCTGAAGGTTAAGGTTTGTGTGCTGGTCCGGAGTTTTGAACCAGTTGAAGCTTATGGAGGGATTTTTGGGGGAGGCCATCCAAGAGAGAATTACAATAGTCAATGCCAGAGGTAACGAGATTGTGGACAAGACGCGGACTATGGACGCAGACTGGGTGGAAAGAGAAGGACGTAACCGGTTAATGTTGCGTAGACGGAAATGGGCAGAACGGGTGAGATCATTGATGTGAGATTTAGTGGATAGTGAGCTGTCTAAGATGACACCAAGGCTCTTAACCTGAAGTGAAGGGAAATCTGTGGAGTTATCAATAGTGAGAGTGAAATGATTTGCCTTTAGTAGGGTTGGATTTAGTGCCGATAAGGATTTCAGTTTTATCCTCATTGAGCTCAAGAAAATTAGAGTGGAGCCAGGATTTTAACTCTGATGAGCATTCTGTAAGAGAAGAAGGTGGGAAGGAGGAATCAGGCCTGCAGGAGAGTTATAACTGGGTGCTTAGATGTTTTTGATTTCTACCTCAGTGGTAAGGGAAGTCCTATTTTATTTTTTCCCCAGTGTTTGTTCCCGGGAGGAAGCCAAAAAGTTGTTGTGTCTACCTTTTGATTTTTGATGTTGAGATCAGAGATCAGATTTTTTTCCCTTTTTTTTTATGTCTTGAAGTGAATTTTCATACTCAATTCTAGTTTGAAATAACTAAGCAAAATTTCACTGATGCGTTGTTAGTTTTTCCAGTAATTGGTGGATTGAATATTCACAAGAATATAAAAAATGCATGTAATATCTCGTTTCCTTTTATATAAGGACCAGTCATTCTTCCATTTCAACTAAATTCAAATGTCTTTGAGTCATTTTCTGTCAGAATGAATAACATGTATATGATTCTGCATGTTTGTGCCTTCAGGATGAAAAGGAGGAGTGGCGTCGTTTTCAGGCAGACCTCCAGACGGCTGTGGTCGTAGCGAATGATATCAAGGTGGAAGCTCAACAGGAGCTGCGCACACTCAGGAGGGAGCTGCAGGAGGAGCAGGATCGTAATGCAAAGCTTTCTGCAGACCTTGAGGCCCTGCAGGGAGTCAGGTACTATCTTCCCCACATTTTTCAGTTCCTCTCCCTCCACCAGTTTCCCCTTTTTTAGCATTGGGCTGCAGTTCTTTTCTCCCTGTACAAATGTAGTTATGATATACCTGCCAGAGTCCTGCCATATCTCTTAATACCTGTGTTTTATACATGCTTAATGAATAAGAATACCACCCAATAATCTATTTAGACATATCTACATTTAGTATAGATACAATTTAGTTTATGATGTTTCACAAGATCCAAACCTTGATGCTTTTGAGTCTAGGTTCCCGGGATTTGGCAGACTCTGTTGGTAAATGAGCCGTCTCCTGTGGTATTTCCCTCTGTGTATTCTATTCCTTTTAAGCTGCTGCCCTCTCCGTCTCCCTCTTCCACACTTACCCTCTGGTAACGTTTATTCCTGACACTCAAAATGCAGCAAACTTCAGCAGTATTGATAGGACAATATGAATAATATAAAATTTTATTTTTTTTTAATAAATGGTGGCAGATCTGCTTCATGGTCAGAGCAGAATCTGTGATTAGTTTTTTACAGCAAATGTCCCACACCAATCTGTCACACTATTCAAGACTTCACATAGTGCAATCGGAATATGTCAGTGCAGCATTGTTGTTGATGAGCATTGCGTTGGATCGTGTGTTATTATACAAGTGTGTTTTAGTGTGCATATACCATAGTGTTTTTGACAGTCTTGTCTTCTTTCATTATCAAGCCAGGTCAAATACTTCTGTGGCAAAGTCTGCTTAGATTTGTGACTGTACAGCGCTCTCTTTATATTTGTGGCTGGCCATGGTATAATCCTTTCAGGTAGCGAAACAAATTTTTATTAATATAATTAATTTATATTAAAAAAAACTTTTTTATTACTATTAATTATTAAACTGCTCACCAGTAGTTTTACCACTTAAGAAACCGTAATATTTGGTTTAAAAACCAGATATGTCTTTTCTTCAGATTTCATGCAGTACTTGAGAATATAGTAGTGGCTTTAGACCACGGCTAAATCAGCAAACTCTCCCCAAGATTAGCTGTTACGCTGCGTCCGCTCCCCACCTCCAGCAGTTCCCTGTGATGACTCTATCAAAGAAGTCCCTCTGACAAGCCTCCCTGTGTAAAGCCCAGGTGAGTTTCCTGCCCTGCAGTGCTCTCTCAGCCAGCCTGCCTCTCCCTGCCCTGTGTGCTGCTGATGCTCACTGACCTTCCTATCTATGTTTGGCTTCGTGTTGCCGCTTCAGCCTGTCTGACTCTGTCTGTCTTTCTGTGTGCTGGCTGACTGCACCCTCAGGGGTATCATGCCCTTTTTGGTTTGCTTTGCCTGATTTCTTTTCTTTTTTTTCAACCTTTGGTTCGAGTAGATGTATCTGGTGCCACCTGCTGTCCTTTAAATGAATAACACTCTTAATTGTTTTTTGGTTGTATAGCAGGATGGTCTGCACGGCATGACTGGATTAAACTCATGCAATGCATCATCTGCTGCAGATACATTTCATCACAGGGTGATTTTATTGAAATTTGATTCTGAGTGACTTTATTAATCCTTTGAGGTATGCATGGAGCAGAGATTTTAGAAGTCTGCAAGCACCCACAGGTCTGGCTTTGAAAATAATAATGCTGAGAAGAAAACAAGGTCATTGTGTAAACATTAGCTGTTACACTGCAGTTCATGTCCTTTCTTCTTTTCTCTCCAGAATAAGTTCCGGGGCCACTTTTGAGACCAAGACGGCAGTAGAAGGGCACTAAAGAAGCGTCTCTCACCTCAGCACCACGTGAAGACAGTGTTATTGTTGCACTTAATATGACATTAAACATGTAATGTGGTAAAATAGTTTCATTGTAAGCCACTGTGACCTCTGTAACCACAGACGAATTCTTGTGACACAGACCGGCTTCTATCTCTCTTCATGTCTTCATGACCTTTTAAAAATACTGTATTTTTGTTTCTCAATGAATGTACCCTTTATTTTTGTGATTCTCTTGTGTTTGAGATTCCAGGAGTGAGAGACTTATATTTTTTGTTTGTTTGTTTATAATAATGTGTGAAGCTGCTTTTGTGCCTTTCAGAAAGTTGAACAGATGAAGTGTTACAGCAAGAACACTGAAAAAAACTGGTCGCGGTATGAAAATATGGGTAAATGTTCAGAGAGTAGCAAAGCTCAGAGACTTGTGTTTCCCAAACACTGCCAGAACAAAGACAAACTCATAACATCAGAAAATACACATCGCAAGGCCAAAGCAACAAAACAGAACAAAAGTCCAGTGATATTCATACAGTATATAGTTCTGGACCTAATATTATTCTGCTTACTAGCTCTATATTAGTCAGATTGTTGTCACTTGTTTACTTGACTCTTGATTCCTCTGATTGGTCTAAAATGCAGTTTCCTATTTAGCCATTTGATGGCACTGTAGAACACATAATAACTTTAAATCTCTGTCATCTCAGCACACAGGTATCCTCTGCACTGTTTCTATTTGCCTGTTTTTAATGATTGCGATATTTCTTCTAAATGTCTTCTTAATATTATACTGCCAACATTGGAACTGCCACAAACGCAAACAGCTGTTCCTCCAAGCCACTTTTTGCTCTACTGAAACATGCCATTTTAACCCTTAGACCAAGAAGACTGTGTTACATGTTCCTAAAATGATTGTTTTATTTCACACAAGAAACCACTTTTAAATTATGAGCTGAACTCATTTTCTTTAATTTAACTTTTTAGCTGCATAAGATGATGTAGAATTAAACACACACTTTTTATCTGAGCCTCTGAGGTTACTCTAAAAAAAAAAAAAATCATGTTATAATGGGACTCTGAGATTTCTTTAACATCCTTCTTAATGTGTCACTCAAGTACTGTGATATAATTTTGAAAGGTTTATTTCATTGTTCAACAAAAACTTCAATAGAATATTGCATACTGTGGTAGTATACGGTCATACGGTTGCAGGATCTCAGGTTACAATTTTTAAAAGCCATATTTTAATCCCAAGGTAAAGGTACTGGTGCTCAAAATGTAAGCATTTGGATTCACTCAAGAAACCCGACCTTCTAAAGAAAGATGAGCTACTAACAATGTGATGGATCATTTTCTTTCAATGAACAATTCATGAATGTCCTGTTAATTTATTCTGCCTAGAAAGACTCGTGACTGGTTTTATGCTTGTGAACTTAGACGTGTATTATTATGTCTGACTGCTGTTCATCAGGCAAATGAATAAATTAAATGACACCAGTATAACTGCAGTCGTCTTTCTCTGACAGTCTACTTTTTTTTTTTTTTGAAAGTGAGTTAAGAACTTGTTTGTCATTTCTGTCTCCTCTTGTCTGTAAAGAGGCTGCAGACCCTCACGCTGTAGCCTTTGGTCCAATGTTCACCAGGTACAACGGCAGAAAGCGTCTCTACTGCTCACATTAAGGTTTTCCAAACTCTTTTTGTCTCCAGCTAGTCATCAGTTATTGACAGTTCTTCAGTTCAAGCTGATCACATGATCTTGTTGATACACTGAGCAAACACCCTATTTTTTTTCAAACGTGCAGTCTCCCCTTTCTCACTGGTCAATGGGTTATCTCATAAGATAAGTTCTAAATTCAGGGTTTTGAAATTCACCAGGTCACAATTTGCCGTTTCTCCTCCCTCTAGTGTTTGTGCTACCTGTGTGTCCACACAGCAATCCTGTTCATTGTGTCTGCCAGGTCCCAAGGTGAAGAGGTGAGAGTGTCTGACTCGGATAACGGCCGTCACTGGTGCGGCATCTCCATGATCCCAGCCACGCCCGCCGACGCCAGCGGAGATTCCAACACAGAGCCTGGAGCTACTGTCAAATCCCTCATTAAGTCCTTTGATACTGTTGGACAAAGTGAGCACGAGCACCCCAGCACACAGACACACACTTTCAGGGCATCCCATTACGCAGTGTAACTGTAGAGCAGAACAGCTGCTGAGAGGTCTATGAATATGTGGCTTTTCTCTGCAACTTGTGCGATTGGGCTGGACGGTCCTGGCTAAGCTGGCCTCAGACAGGTCGGAGGGTTTCCTTGTGTGTCTCAGTAAAATCAAAAATGACATGCTGGATATATCTTCTACTGATAGGAGGCATTTTCATTTAGGAACTTTAGTCATGCATTATGGAGATGGTGCCTCTTGTTTCATTTATTAAGCAGCTTGACATGAACATTATGTAGAGCTGCATACATTAGGACAGTTTTACTGGTTTTATTTAATCTTTCAACCAAGGCTATTCTTTTTTTCTTTTTCTTTTTTCTATGAAACAAGCTAAACTTCAAAATAAATTGTTGGGGGAAATGTACCAAAACTGAGTAAAATATACTATTAATTTCTCAAATATCAAAAATGAAAAGAAGACTAGGAGTCCAACTGTTTAAAACTGTTTTAAAAAAAAAAAGTGGACAGTGGGCTGTGACATTTGTTTAATCTTTGAAAAAGGTTATTCTTTGCTTCTATAAATGCAGGCTTTACAGAGCACTTTTGAACTCAATGGTTACATGACTTGGTGTTTCAGATGGGCCAGGTCACACGGTTCAAATGCATTCCTCCTCAAGAAGCCCACTGAGTGGGATCCCTGTGCGCACTGCACCTGCTGCTGCTGTATCCCCCATCCAGGTATACACCCTGTTTCCCTTTAAAATTCCCTTTAAATACAGACTTCCTGTGAGTGGAACTGTTTCAGATGACTGTTTCATTCTCTTTTTAGAGACACTCGCACATAAAGCCACTATCAAAGACACTGGAAAAAAGAATTAATCACGGAGAATTCTCCCATCCTCATGGTATGTAACACAGAAGGGATTTGGGCATGTTGTAATGGTATAAATTTGCTATCAAATATCCATACTTCCTTTAACTGTCACACAGGAACAAATGGTGGCTTTTAGATCAACAGTCTGACAGCCAAAGTCCACTATGAGTCTTCAATGAGCACTAAATGAATGGTATTAAAGACATGCAAACATCCGACTGCTGCCAGTTTGGTGGAAAATTTTATGATTTTTCTCCTTGGCAACCAAATGCTGTAAATTTTGTGCATGGCTCTTAAAATGTCAGCATCTACATTCAGTAGGTCTTCTTGCTCCATCTCTGAGGAGTCATTTGAAAAACACAGTGACTTTAATCGGATAAGGGATTTTTAAAAAAAATGTTTTATTGCAGTAAATCCAGATTATTTAGATTTTACTGCTCATTAGAATTCAAGTATTATTTTGTACACAGTGGGTACATCAGTAGTTAATGTGACTTTCCATAACTGCAGAACGCTAGAAGTCTTAAAGCAGAATACAACTAATTTCTATTTGTCCCATTGCCTTTCATGCCCTGCAACTGCACATGTGATTTGTCAAATGCACTTTGTATTTTGATCCCTCCATTTCTAACTTTCTTTTCATTCTCCTGTGTGTTGTTTTAATTCCCACAGACAAATTGGCGAGCTGCAGGGAAGACCTGAAACCTAACAGCCTTATGAGGAAAAGCCCGTCACTGGAGTCTGTAATCAAAACCTCTGCCTCCCTCAGCAGCCGCACGCCATCCTTCAGCTACAACCGAGGAAGCAGCAAGCTCAGGTGAGTTTGTTTATTTATTTTTAAATAGCACTTCACTCTGAGACAAACCTGCTACTTTGAACTGGAGCTGGTAATTTAATCATACCTGAAAAAATTCTTTTTTTTTTTCTTTTTTTTTTAGCTTAGGAGGAGCTAACATATTTGACTATGATTTCACCACATGAAAACTACATGTCTGGATTTGTTCTGGGTTTATGCTTCCCAATACTGTGACAAAGCAAAAATGTGAATAAGTTGATCTCTCACTGAAGCTTTAAAGCTGATTTTGGTTTTAAAGAAGGCCATTGCTGTGATGACAAATCTTCACAAGCAGTTAACAAAATTTTATGTCCAGCGTTCCTGATTGGACACCGATGAGTGTTGGCTTATCAGAATGGGAAGAGAGGCAAATGGTGAACAAACATGTTTTTATACTCTTCTTGCTAGTGATCGTTTTCATGCACGGACAGCTCATGTCTGTGTACACTCGTGATTGCATCTGATGTAAATGGTGGCAACTTCGAAACAGCAAAGTTAGTTAAAGCAATGAAATAAATGGTAAATGGCCTGTATTTGTTTAGCACTTTTACTAGTCCCTAAGGACCCCAAAGCGCTTTACACAACCAGTTATCCAGCCATTCACACACACATTCACACACTGGTGATGGCAAGCTACATTGTAGCCACAGCCACCCTGGGGCGCACTGACAGAGGCGAAATACTTGGCCAGCACACTGGACAACACCCTTAGCTTCAGTCAGCATACAGTTGACATTAATAAACAGCACTCATTGTTTATGTTGAAACTCAGAAACCTGTCAGTCCAGCCTCTCCACATCCTTGTCTGCTGTCATGACTGTTCAGCTCTCTGCACTTTGCACACAGCCTTATTTTTACAGTATTGTTTGTGCTACCAAGAATAAATTTTCCACACAGATAATTGGCCTTCCTTTTCCCTAGTGCAGTCTATCTTTTCTTACCATCTATTCACTCTTGACATTATTAATGTAAATGTGTGTGAAGGAGTTGTAGACTTTCTGGAAGAGGAGATTAGGGGGCTGTCTCCTTCCATATTTGGTATTTTAAAGGCTCATGATAAAGCTGCTGTATCACTGATGATAAATGCAGATACTCTCCGCACTGCAATATATGTTTGGATAGCATCTTGCTCCTTCTGGCATTATGGTGCCTCAAACGGAGAAATAATGAATTCAGCAGCAGAGCAGCGATGACGTGTGAAATATTTACTATGCTCACAGCAATGACCATGTCTCATGGTCTTCCCATGGCCTCAGCTCCAGCACAAACCCTTGGGAGAAGCCCCTTTGAATAATACTGCAGATAGGCATTTATCCAATCTGTTGGACAATTTTGGGGGGTTTTAGAGAAATGCATTGAGTGTACTGTTTGCCAATATTTGATGGATGAAAAGTAAAACAGATGCCACTAAAAAAAACTTTGCTAAAGGTTTACATCCCAACACTTAAAGTCAGACTGGGTGCTGGATTCACGCCAAAGTAATCTTGAGCCAACTCTTAACTCCAACACAAATACACAAGCAAACCAAAGAAGCTTCAGTCTTGTAATGATAATTCGAAGCCCTGGAATTCAGAAGGGAGTTTTCAAACAGGGAACATTTGGAAAAGCTATGTAGGAATAAGAGAGTATTATATTTTATTTTTAAAGAGAGCATTAAGAGTTTGTTTTTGTTTTTTTAAAAAGGGTTTATTCAAATTTTTCAGGACTGAAATGGATCTAGTTTTTCAATAATGGTATGTTGTGCAGGTCATTGTACACTGTGATCATGGAGGCAGGCTCATTTTTAGCTCTAAAGTTAATATTTATGAGCCCTTTATGTTATTTAAAGATGGCCAACCTTTGTAACCTTCCTGAACTAAAACACCAGAGTCTAAAGAAGAAGAAAAAGAGGAATGGAAGTTTTTAGCTTCCGAAAGCATGCATGTGAGAAATCAGAAATAAGTTGTGTGTTATTAGATCAGGACCACTTGAATTACCTTTTATATAGAAATTTTGGGGGGACTTAAATAATTGAACAAAGCCTTTTGCTGTGATCACCATATGCACTCAAGTTTGCATGGTTACTTATCCCCTCGATGACTTACTGCAAATTTGCTCCCCCCTTCCACCCAAAAAATCTCTCTATGTGATTGTGGTTCGTGTTTCCCTTGTGACAGTGTGGAAAGAAAGGACCCCTTGGCTGCACTGGCGCGGGAGTACGGAGGATCTAAGAGAAATGCTCTACTGAAGTGGTGCCAGAAGAAAACAGAAGGCTATCCGGTAGGGATCACAGGCCGGAGACCTCTCTCAGACACAAGACGAGCCCCACTCACTTTCACACCCTGCTCTTCTCTGCATCTTTGTCTGACGGTTTCATTTGAGTGTTTCACTCGTCCGGTTTTTATTTAAAGGCGAGATGACAGCCCCCCCACCCCCGTCCCCCCTTTCATATTACATGTATGCAGTATTGGTTAGTCTGCCCTCAGGTTCGGTAGCTATTTCTTTTCTTTTTTTTGTTTTATTTTCCTGCCATGAGTGATGTGCCGGACTGTAATGGCACATTACTCCTCCTGTCATCTCAGTGGGGATATGAAATCGCTGTGGCACAGCAGTAATGGAAGCAATGAAGCAAAGCACCCAGTCTTACAGACACACTGGATTTATACCTGTATGTATTTTCACAGCCTGCACTGTTTTTATGCTTGCCCATTCATTTATTTTTATTTTTATGTTGTTGTGCTCCCAGCGGCTTTAACTGGTTCCAGGAAGCCCTAGTGCTAACACGCTCCCTTAATACCTAGTTTAAGGAGCCTATTAACCCCAGTGGGATTAGAGATTTACCTCTGTAATCACTGTGTTTGTGTGCCAGTATGCTAAAGCTATACAGGGGGACTGGCTGCAGCCTCCAACAAAGCAATTCTTTTATCACTCTCAGCCTTCTGATAGGAATTACAGTTACAGATGTAACTGACTGTGCGTCTCTGGGGTTTGGGGGTGAGTCTAATAGCACGTAACTCTGGCTTAACCAAGTATGAGAAAGCACAGGTGATAATAACTGCTAAGAATAAGCCCAGCTGTCACAGTGATAAATAGTGAATTATTGGATGAGCTGTCAGATCAATAGTTCTATTTCACAAGGACAGTGGTGCTCAGTGAACTTTGATTCCCCCACCCAACCCCACCCCACACCACACTGCCTCTTCTTTTCTTATGAGAACTGGTGCTTGACGACCTCATGGTGCGTATGTTGGTGAAACACGCTCAGCAGATCTTCTTGTGATGGAAACAGCTGACTTAATGAGATAAAACTGACAATCTGTCTGATAAAATGCTGCTCCTGAACACAGGCTGCCCGGCTCAAATTGTTTAGACTGTTTTGACATCTTCGGGCAGTGGGGAGCATGTTTAAAGATGCTCTCTTGTAGCATTCGTTGATGCCACAGTTTTCTCGCTCATTGGAAAAAAAGGAGTTTCCTGGAAATCTTTTAACACGGCGATTAAAAATCGAAACAAAACCACTGGGCTGCGTCTTCAGGAAGTTTACTCTCTGCTGCGCCCACACACTGATAACATAACAATGTCACTACCTCTCAATGGCTGTAGTTTGATCTAGGGAGACACTTGTTACTTGGTACAGACAATGTACCAAGTAATAAGTGTCTTTAGCTGTCACACGAATAATATTTCCCTCTTAAATATTCTCGTGAAGAACAATAAACTAAACTGCAAATCTTAATTCAGTTCAGTACAACATTAATACCCCTTAATAGAGCCTCATTCCTACTGGTGTGGATTTAACTATGGGATCTTATGATCTGCTCTCACAGAGGGCTTAGCAACACCCTGTGATTATTTGCAAGTATCAGGAATGCATTAAGAAGATTTGGCTGCTAGGTGTGTTTCACTCTGTGGCATAGGGTTAGAGCTGTGGTCCCTTCGTGCCTTTGCATATTCTCCATGTGCGACATGCGCGTGGCCTGTAATCCGGTTTAGTACTGGACCATTAGTTAGGCAGTTCGCCTTAAAAATGTTTACTTTGAGACCAGTGCGACTACTTCCGTAAAGTAGAGACATGAGGTAATTCCTGTTTGCACATCTCATCAATATTTGTTAACTTGTACCAATCTTTTTTTAGTTTTTGATTTACATGAGAAAAAAATACTTTTGTTTTTCTTATGCAATGATCAAATGAGAAAAAAGAGAAGCAGATGAGTTTAACACTATCTTATCTCTGATGTTAAGTTGAGTCATTAGGATTTAAAGGAGGATCTCTCTAAAAGGGTGATCCGCTGTTATTTTCCCTTTTCCTTCTTCTTGGCACTGCACCCACAGAGATTTCTGCTTTCATGGATGCATGCATATGTCCTGCATCTTTGGTGTTACATACTGCATAGGGCATCACTTATAGCCACCGTGGTGAGTAAACTGCACCATAGCATGTAACCCACGTGACAAAGTTTTTTTTTACTAAGTGTTTTATCCTATTGTAAAGTGTCCTTGGGTGACTTGAAAGGCACTCATAAATAAAATTTATTATTATTATTAAGTCCTGTGGTGGGCAGAGAAAATTTTATTGTCATAGGATGCATTGAGCTTCATACGTCTGATGAAAGGTCAGGCTGCTTCGGCCCCCGATTACAGGCCCAGTGTCTGAGAGACACTGACTAACATGTCACACCGTGTGCACCTCCAGGATGGAAAACTGAACCAAGGGACCAGAAAAAACGCAGCATTCAGGTGTCTCTCTGTCATGCTTGTGTTGTGCTCTGATAAAGGTTAGTGAGGTTTAGTGTCATCAATACATCCACACACACTTTGCAGTCCCTCTCCTCCCTGCTGTGGACTAAGGTCAAAGAGGTAATCCCTCAACACTAATTGGCTCTTTAGTATAGCGTCAGCAAGTTGTAATTTGTCCTCGGCCTCTTCGGGCTACATAATTAATGGTCAGTTTGAAGAGGTGGCTTTCACTGTGCACCCTTCGGTTTCTATTGCCCCTCTGGTTTGGAGTGGCAGAGTCAGGAAACAAGCTCCTATATCACGCTCATCTGCCACTGCAGAGCCAGAAAAGCTGCTGTGCGAGTCTGAGACAAAACTGATGGGTGGGTCAGCCCCCGTGCAAGTTGTTATTACAGTCCTATTGTTGGCAGACGTTTTGGTCAAACAGCAGTCTAATTAAAGGGAAAGGGGAAAGTAGGAGCTATTGTAAGCATGCTGAGCAATTATTTGATGCTTTATAGCTCCTGAGGGCACAATAAGTCTGCGATTGTGGCCGAGCACAAAGCCTTTGCAAGACAGCAGTGCTCACAGTCGTCTGTCTGCTAAAACAGCTTCATCTCACCTTCCAGCTTGTTTCACATATGTTTGGGTTCTGTACATGTATGCTTTAATTTATATAGATGCTGTAGAAAACAGTGAGCTATCATAATCTAAGTGTCTTAATGTACTTGATGATGATTCGCTGTTGTCAGCTTGTTTCCTGGGTGGGGTTCTGGACAGACCGTAATGGTTAATACACTTCATGGGGGGGGGGGGGGGAAAGGGGAAACACTGCAAATTACATGCATGTAAACACGCAAGTACTGAGTACAATAGCTGTGCTATCACCATGGAGAAGCAGTCTTGCACCCCTTAGGGAGAATGTGATGTGAGAAGGGGTGCATTTATCCACCAGCTGCTTCCAAACCCAAGTAACATAGAGTATCCTCAGAGTAGCTGAAAGCCCGGCCTGCATTAGAACTCTCAAGGGAGGATGAGGTGTGAGCCCAGGCAGACGCTGTCACACCTAAAATGTCAGATTCTGGGAAGCTCAGATCAATCAGAGAAGACCTTAAGCTCGCTCTGATTGACTCTGCCCTGTGGGAGAGAGTAAAGAGGCCTCTCACAGGAAATTAGTATTCACAAGAGATCCTGTCCACGTCAGTGCTGGACTGGACACAGACTTGAAACACAAGACTGCTTTTATATAACTTGTGTTGCACTGGTTTTCAAGGCAGCTTGTTAGATCAGACTCAAAGGTGCAGGTTGTTGTGCCGGAACAACTTTGCCTGAAACTCGCTGCTTTGTGCTTAATATGTGTGTGGGATTTTTCTTTTTCCGCCCCTGTGCTCTGACTCAGAGTTTTTACATCGATAAAGTGCAGATTGCTCCTGAACAACAAACAGACCACAAAAATCACACAACGAACTGGACAATTTACATATCTAGAAATGATTCATTCATTTTACAGTGGCTTGCAAAAGTATTCGGACCCCTTGAACTTTCCACATTTTGTCACATTACAGCCACAAACATGAATCAATTTTATTGGAATTCCACGTGAAAGACCAACACAAAGTGGTGTACACGTGAGAAGTGGAACGAAAATCATACATGATTCCAAACATTTTTTACAAATAAATAACTGCAAAGTGGGGTGTGCGTAATTATTCAGCCCCCTGAGTCAATACTTTGTAGAACCACCTTTTGCTGCAATTACAGCTGCCAGTCTTTTAGGGTTGTCTCTACCAGCTTTGCACATCTAGAGACTGAAATCCTTGCCCATTCTTCTTTGCAAAACAGCTCCAGCTCAGTCAGATTAGATGGACAGCGTTTGTGAACAGCAGTTTTCAGATCTGCCACAGTTTCTCGATTGGATTTAGACACCAGACAGGTCAGAGATAAAGTTATTGAGAAATTTAAAGCAGGCTTAGGCTACAAAAAGATTTCCCAAGCCTTGAACATCCCACGGAGCACTGTTCAAGCGATCATTCAGAAATGGAAGGAGTATGGCACAACTGTAAACCTACCAAGACAAGGCCGTCCACCTAAACTCACAGGCCGAACAAGGAGAGCGCTGATCAGAAATGCAGCCAAGAGGCCCATGGTGACTCTGGACGAGCTGCAGAGATCTACAGCTCAGGTGGGGGAATCTGTCCATAGGACAACTATTAGTCGTGCACTGCACAAAGTTGGCCTTTATGGAAGAGTGGCAAGAAGAAAGCCATTGTTAACAGAAAACCATAAGAAGTCCCGTTTGCAGTTTGCCACAAGCCATGTGGGGGACACAGCAAACATGTGGAAGAAGGTGCTCTGGTCAGATGAGACCAAAATGGAACTTTTTGGCCAAAATGCAAAACGCTATGTGTGGCGGAAAACTAACACTGCACATCACTCTGAACACACCATCCCCACTGTCAAATATGGTGGTGGCAGCATCATGCTCTGGGGGTGCTTCTCTTCAGCAGGGACAGGGAAGCTGGTCAGAGTTGATGGGAAGATGGATGGAGCCAAATACAGGGCAA